ACAACAACAACAGGGGTGCCTTGAAACAAAGACCTAGTGATTTCCTTCACACAAATCAGCTACTGAAAATTCTGTGGAGCACAATTCGACTCTGACACACATAAGTTCCCATGAGTTGGAATTGCTTTGATGGCAACTGAGTGAACAGAATCTTGAGAAGGACTTTCTTTCAGGTGCTGTTTATACTAGGAAATCTGGCATGATGCTTCAAGTATGACACACAAGAGAAAAATTGAAGTAATATAAGGAATAATTTGCAAGTGGCAAAGTAAGATCAGTGAACTCAAGTACTGGTCACATGATGTTGGTATCAGAGTACAGAGGTCATTTCATTATGCTGTGGAGGACTTCAGCCACTTATTTCATATGACTGGGCAATCTTCTCTGGGAGATGAATTTGTTCCTCAAAAATTTAGATCTTCTATCTTTGAAAACAAGAGTGATTAGCATTTTGAAAAGGCACACATCATAATTCAGTAAAGATGCAACTTTGTTTCTCCTGTTGTCCTTTTACATTTTTATCTATGGGGTAATCTTTCCTACTCCTCTTGCATGAAGCCTCCAACAGCCTAGACTTTCTTCTCATTCTTAGGTGGTAGATGATCTATGGTCAATAGGTTGCAAATGTAGTCCAGGTGTAGAAATTTTAAAATCCTGTCCTGTTTAGTAATCCAAACTTTGGACATAACTTGCTGTTAATTCTCCCTTCTTCACTGATCTATTTCACTTCTCCAAGCTTGGGCATGTTTCAGGATGGAAGCCTGCAGTAAGGTAGAAGGTAGAAGTTCCCTATTTCCTCATCTTGTGTTTTCCCCCTTCGTCTCGCATCTTGATAAGTGTTGTTTTAATCTGAGTAGGTCCAATGTGGCTGGGGATGACAAAGAGAGGGGATACATAGGGACGTTCACCCTTCAATTAATATTCTTGCCAATTGGTCTTAACTTTAGTGTAGCAGATGTATTTTTCACTTGAGATATCATTTTTCTGGACTCTTCAGCGTTTCTTTCTTACTTTCTCCTACAATTCTCTTTACCCAACAGGATGCTTCTCTGCTCTGTTCTTCCTCAGTCCCTGAACATCGACTAGTGCATCTCCAGTACTTGTTGACCCCTCCAGGTGGCTCTATAGAGCAGAATCCAAGGCAGGCCTTACACTGGCTCATTTGATACCTCAGGGCCCACAGCTCTTCCGGGGAACACACATGCATTTCTTGCCTGGGACTGATGAGGGTTCCAAGGTAGCAGCAGTCTACTGCCTCTGTCTTCAAAGCAATCTGACCTTCTCGTGTTTTATAGATACCCACCTGGTAGGAGTTCTAGCCAACCAGAGTGTCAATTTCAGTCTTCTCAAGAATGGTTTGAGCACCAGCTTCTAGAACTCTGTCTCAGAAGACACTTTGTATTTTCCTTCCTAGCTTAGGGTTAGAGGGTGCACTTCCTCCCATCCGCTTGAGAGGTCTTGGCAAAAAACTGCCTCCTCCCTACCAAAAGATGTAATTTCTCTCCATTTCATGATCTTCTTCTATGTCTTTTACCTAGTTGAGGGGCCCAAGGGGTTCTTAAGGGAAGTCTTGGAAAATCTTCATATGATGGTTTGGCACCTTTCTTTGGAAATTTTGTTTGGAATTATATTTTGTTGCCTGCTGGAAACTTCAGTTTTAAGATCTTATTACACAAGTAATAAACAAATGTGTTTTATGGGCCAATTCTTGAACCAGAGTCCAGTGGTGTAACATCTGGCTCCACTAAGCATTTTGATTCCTGGGTAATTTTCTGTGTGTGTAAAAATAATTTTTTTTTTTATAATTCTCTGGAGAGTTCTGGAACAGCTATGTTATTTAGCACTTGTTAACTACAACTGGAGGCACACTGAGTTCATAAAATAATTTGAAATGAAATATCTTATTGAGTGAATTGTTTAACATGGTAGTAGATTGTTTAACATGGTAGTAGATTGATTCCCAAGGGCATTCTGTGGTTCTTGACCACTAAGACCTCGTCCATCACAAGACACAAGTCCAAGATTTTTTTGGCTATACGAGAAGGTAGGCAAGTGAGTCCACAATCCTGAGCCACCAGGAGATAGATTCTTCCAAGATAACTCCCTCACCAGCTGACTACTCTGCATGCGGACTTTACGAGCCACATAATAGCATGTTTCAGTGAGGTTTGAAAGGAGGAAAGAATTCTGGATGGTGTTCTTTTCTGAGGTCATGATATCCTTACAGAGTAGCTTGAGCCCAGTGCAGAAAGAAGGGAATGATGCATCAGTATGAGGTTCCCCAGATGTGACATAATGAAATTACATGTGCTGCTGGTTGGCCCTGACTTTTGTGGAGAGACAGTCTGTGCAGTTAAAATTGAGAGCCAGAAATGCTGTGTGGTTATGTGTTTGTCCCTAATATTTTGTTTGTTTAAAACTAGGGAGAAAAATTGAGTAATATTCATGTGGTTTTTTTGTTTGTTTGTTTGTTTCACTTCTTTGGAGACTTGAATCATGAAATTGGAAAGCACTCGTTTGATATTTGGTTTGTTCAAGTGATGATTTTTCTAAAACCTGTGTCTGTTAACCTTTTTAGGGAACCTACCCCACCTTTTGATGAACCTATCCCTCCTCTGTCCTTGGCGAGTTGATGTTTTCCCTACTCCCCACCTTGTTCCATCTTTGAGATTCATATATTTTTGTGAACTCATGTTGTTGTCGTTGTTGTTAAGTGCCTTTGAATCAGTTCCAACACATGGTGACCATGTACAGGCTTTCCAAGGAGTGGCTGGTGAATTTGAACCACCGATTTTGCGGTTCAAACTGACATTACAGTCCAGTGCGTTATACCACAGTGTGCACTGAGAAAATGTTGTCATGCTTTACTTTTTGTAATCTCTGTAATGAAAACAATAGGCATTTGTTGACTTTCTAAATATATAAATGGGTACTTAGAGAATTAGATGTGCTTTTATACTTTTCATTTTTCTTTTTCATGCTACTATATCACATTTGTACATAATGTACTACAAGTGTAGGAGACACAGACCTACTGAAGGCCATGCATGATCTTCTGAGGGAGTCATTTCTCCAAATCATACACTCTTTTCCTATCCTTTTGGGTATCTTTATCCCTTTTAGAATCAAAGCTTTATAGCTATAAGTAGCCTGGAGATCACCGCTGGCCTCTATTATAGTCCTTATAAAGACAGCAACCCAAACTGCAAACCAAATGCCAGTGAGACAAACTCAACAAATACACATAATATTCTCTTAAGCCTTCATTTTATAATAGCTTTAAGGTTGAACAAATATTTATTCAACCAAAACAGCAAACCAAATAGCAGTGAAACAAACTCTGCAGATGTACTTAATATTCCTAATGCCTTTATTTTACAATAGCTTCAAGGTTGAGCAAATGTTTATTCAATTACTAGAAACCCAGATTTTTTTTTGCCAAGTATTATGAATGACATTGGATAAGAAATGTATAATCCCCAACTTCTAGAAGAATTCAAGAGTCACTTGTTGATAAATATAGTTAATTATAATAAAGTACAATAGCAGTACACGATATATTATTATTTTTTTAGATGGGAAAATGGCAGCTCAGCATAGTTGTGTGACTATTACAGATTGCTCAGTAAAATAGTGTTCTGTAGTTGAGAGCTCCAAAGACCTTCTTCTATTATATGCAAGCAAGAGTATAATAAAATGGGAGAGAACAAATTAGGGCAAAACAAGCTGTTAGAAATTAGAGTTTTGTCACAGTGAGATTACTGACACATCAAATTAACCGACTGTGAAAGGTTTTTGAATAGGCCACCTGCTGTATTTGCCCTTCCTATAGCTGTGTGAATTTTTGTGGGAGCCCAGGTCTCATCCTGGTGGGTAATGAATGGGACACACTCTTAGAAGATATGCCTTTATTAAAGTCACCTTTTAGTTAGCTAAGAGCTGGCTGTGAAGCATGGGTAAGTGCATCACTGATAGAGATGTTAAGTCTCAGAGTTTGAGGAGGAAAAGGACTTTGACACCCATATTATCATATTTTAAGGAGAACTTTGTTTATTGGAATCCTTGTTGTTTCCAGAAGATGAACAGTTTTCTTGTTTGCTCAGGATACTCTTGCCCCTAAGTTCTTCCCTACAAATGATCAGTACACTGTGGGATGGTGTACTGATGATAATTTACTGATGATAATTTCTTTCCTTTTTTTATTTTTTGTATTTTTCCATAAAGAAGGGAGAATAAGTAGTAGGCATTTGATAAATTTAACCAGATGTACACTGTTTTGTTCAGTTGGCATGTACTTGGGGTTTACCCCAGGGATAGCCAAGTAAAAGTTTTTATAAGGTTTCAACCAAGAAGAGGGAGTTTGTAAAAAAAAAAAGAGAGAGAGAGAGAGAGAGAAATACAGATGTTCTACAACTGTCTTGTGCTTTGGTGGAGGATGAAAACACTGGGCCACACCCAGAGAAATAATCCAGTTTTAAAAGAACTGGTTTGCAAAAGATTGGCATTGCATATTTGTTATATTTATTCCTATTTTGTTTGTGAACAGTTTAACAGGCTTATTATGTAATGAAGCAGGTATTACTTTTTGGTTGAAATGATTTTTTTCTTCTTTTTCTAGTCTTAAAAGAATTCTGAATTGCAGTGAGAATTGGGGTGTGCGTGTGTGTTGTGGGGAGGGCAGTGAGGAGGGTGAATGGAAAGCATTCGAGCTCCTTCTCTTACTCCAGGTTAAATTCTAAGTCATAGTCCCTTGATTACATATATATTTTTATTTCCAATGAATAAAATAAGTAGATTTTCCTGACAAAATGTATTTCAGGGCCCTGTTAGCATCTCAGATGGAGCCCACATTTGCTCGGAATGTTTTCCCTTGTTTTGATGAGCCAGCTCTGAAGGCAACCTTTAATATTACAATTATACATCACCCAAGTTATGTGGCACTTTCCAACATGCCAAGACTAGGTAAGTAATTATATATATTGAATACACACAGGGGGGCTTCAAGAGTTCCTAGAAAAATAGAATAGAAAGATAATGGAAAACTTCCACAGTCTTTTGGAAGCTCAGATGGTGTATATACATACACACAGAGATGCAGGTATATGTACACATACACATACACACACACACACACATACACAGGTAAGTCCAAAAGCTTTGCTATTAGGGTTCTAGTTCATACACACATAGGTTTTTTCCCAAACAAAATGTGTTTAAGCATATCTCTACAATCAGTGGATGACTGCAAACTAGTTTCCTCAGTAATAAACTTGTCTCTTTCGGTTGCCTTCAAAAAACAGGTTCAACCAAAAATAGTGGATTCCAAGGGGTCTGCTGAGTCAGGTAAATTAAAGGCAGAACACTCAGGAGGTTATGGCAGCTGTTTCTGGGGGATTCCAAAGAGATCATCTTGATATATTTCTTGAAGGACAGAGGTATTTATTAATAAGAAGTTTTAAGAAAATTGAAAATGGCATTGGTGAGGAAAAAAGATAGGAAAGTTGAACTGCAATTTCTTTTCCATCATGACAACTATTCGTTCATTCCTCAACAGTATCAAGACAGTCCTTTGAGAATAGTGTTGGGGAAAACACAACTTACGTACCTACCCTACAACCCTGATTTTGCCACTTCAGACTTCTTTTTGTTCCTAAAATTCAAAAGATCATTTCCAAGGAACACTATTTGAGTCCCTTAGGATGCTCTTTTCATGTGGTATAAAGGAAAGAATGCAGAATTCTTTGGGGAAAGATTAAAGCCATTGCCATCAAGTCAATTCCAATTCATAGCAACTTTATACAGGGTTTCCAAGACTGTCCATCTTTATGGGAGTAGACAGCCTTATATTACTCCTAGGGAGCAGCTGGTGCATTTGAAGTACTCACCTTACAGTTGTTGTTGTTGTTGTTGTGTGCTGTTAAGTTGGTTCAGCCTTATAGCACTATGCATAGGGTTTCCAAGAGGATTTGGACTGATGACCTGGTGGACACCAATCCAGTGCTTATACTACAGTGATAGAAACACTACCTTCAGAAATATATAGACCTAGATTAAAGATTTATCAAGAAACAATAGCTTCATACTATTATATTTTTGTTTTCTATGACTTTGTAGCAATACTTATAGATTTACCCTCAAACACACACAGACATATCAAAGGAGGGTGAGTCAAAAATTATCTGCACTCTGCCTGTCAAATTTATTTTAATCAATTTTTAGAAAAGACAAATACATCATTTTTTCTGGCTTAATCTCCTTTGTCCATCTGTCAACAAACTTTCATATTCCCTTATTTAAAAAAATATTTTTGGCTGAACTGGGAGCAACAAATGCAATGTTGTCTTCACTTCTTCACAAAGGTGAATCTTCATCCTTGAAGGGCTACTTTCAGGGTACCAATAGGCAAAAATCCAAGGGAGCAAGATCAGAACTATAGCGGGGCTGCTTTAACATTGTTGCAATGACAACCGTAGGGGCAGAGGTGTGTGGACATGCATTTTCATACAAGATCACAAAGCCCTTGCATAGCAGTCCTCCGCTTTTAATCCCAGATTTAGCTTCAACTTTTCATTAAGCATCTCACTGTAATGAGCACTGTTGATTGTTGAACCTTTTTCCTGATAGTGTTCCCATACGGGCCTTTGACGATCCCAGTAAACTGTAAGCATCCATTTCCCAGCTGATGGTGGACTTTTGAAACTTTTCTTGGTCAGCAATTTAGGATGTTTCCATTTCATACATGTATATTGTTTCGTTGCCATGATTACAATCCCCTACATGCATCATTAACCAACCAAAGGGTATACACTACAACCCTGCCCTCCCCGGTCATCAGCACACAGTCCCTCTCCCTCTCTGGGTCTAACGTTCCCAACTGCTCCATCACTCTACGTCATTATCTCTGCCACCATCTCAGGCATCACTGCTTCTCTAGGTAGGGTCCTGCTCTCTGCTCTTCTCCCTTGATGGTCCCAGGGACCTCCGCTCCTAGACTGAAAAGCTAATCACTCCCCTCCTAGCTACAAAATGTCTACCTTTACATTTGCAACCCTCACAATCAGTCCTGATAACAATTATTCACTATTGTATCATCAGCCCCACCTAGACAGATTGGATACTACTCAGTGGAGATTCTACCTTCCTCCATGCCCTCTGGATCTAGGTTCCCTCTTGAAAGCTTCTAAGCCAGTCACTTCTTGCCTTTGTAGCCTCCCCCCCCGTCCCCACCACCCATTTTGTGTAGCCAATGTCCAAGTTGCCCATCCCTGTCTACTCTGTGTATGGAGGCAGTGGGAATGATCCTTGTAAAAATTTGTTCCCTTTTTTGAGCTACTGCATCCATAGTTGTAGGTCAAGTTCATCAAATTGTATCAGATTACTCTTTTTTCCCTCTTCTTTCTTCTTCTAGTTGAGCTCTGATCATGTAGTCATTGAAGCCAGGTCAAGTGGGTGTTATCTGCAAGTGTGAGTGCTCTTGTGCATATGCCCTCTCTTCTTATCAGCTGGATGCTTCATTCTCCACTCTAGTCCTCTGTGGCTATGTCACTGACTCTGGGCCCAAGAGTCCCCAGGTCTTGCCACACTGCTGGCCAACCAGGAGTAATGATTTTTTTTTTAAAGAAACTTTTACCTTCCTTTGAGCATCAGTCCAAATTTTGTTTGCAGATGTCCAAACACTTCTATACTTTTCTGTGAGTTTTTTCAGTATCCATCTTGCATAAACTTTTCGGAACCCAAGTCTGTCATGGATTATTTCACAGGCAGTGCCATGTGTGGTTTGCAAATTATTTTCCCCATATAATCCACTGACACTCGTGTGTTTGACAGAATCATTTCATGTGCCTGCTCAATGTTGCCATCAGCTGTGGATGTGGACAGGTGCTTTACCAGAAATGCAGTGCACATACTTTTTGACTCACCCTTTTATATACCTATAAACACAGACACATACATATTCAATCTATGATAGTTTTTATATCAATATCTTTTCTAGGCAATGTGTTAGTAATATAGTTATTGTATAACTATAACCATTGTGTTGCTATATTGTTATCAGTGATGCCAAGTTACCCCAAATCCTAGAGTTTTCTCGAAAACTCAGAAGAAAGGCAGTAATTTTAAAACATTATCCTGGAATACTGCCTTCAAACAATTCATTGTGGATTTAAATCAGTGTAGTCACCCTCCAGGTAAATCTCAGGGAAAGAGGAAATCACAAAGATGGGTGTGTTTAAGGAGAGCAGTCACATGGGGTATGTGTCAGCATCCACATCTCGGGGATTATAAATCATGATTGTTTTTTGTATTATAATCTGGGGACTTTAAAACAGTCCTTTCATGTGTTGGCAGTCTGTCATTGGAGCTTTAGGAAGTTTGAATAAATTAGGGCTTCACCTTTTGAGGATTCAAGATAACAAGCTGGTGAACTGGAATTAAATCTAGTACACAGATATGTTTGATTTGGCTCACATAACTTTTTCCTTTTTATTGAATTAGTTTCCAGCTTTTTAAAATCCAGAGATTTCACATAAAATTAAGCTTTTTTACTTCCCTGCAAGCCCAGCAAAACTTAGCCTGCAGTTCCTAGTTGACAGCAATCAGTTACACTGAGAAGCAACTGCTTGTAGACTGTGCTCTCCAGTCTGCCATGGTCCCCACCACTTCCTGTTGTTGTCCACTGGCCCATTTCACATGAAGTGCCTTGTGCTTATAGGCATTTCAGTTTGTAGTTTCTGCATTAAAAATCCCAGACTGCCACCAATGTCGATATAGATAAGTCCTCCAAGTAACAAAATTGCCTCTATTTATCTATTAATTGCCTGGGCAAAATTGCCTGGGCAGCTCAAGATTATGTAGTGTGAGAAATGAACTGGACTAGGAAATAGAAGTGGGTGAAATAGAAGGAAGACAGATTTGGGGTCAAATGTACAGTGTTTACAGGTTTGGCCCTCAGTCAAAACCATGTTACTCAAGATACTCGAGATTTGAGCTCAAAATGCTGTGCTTAGAACTTCCTAGTGTAGTTTTTGATAGCTTGTTGTTGGTAGCTGCTGTCAAGTTGGAACCTGGTTGATGGAGACCCAGTGTACAATGGAACAAAATGCTGCCCTGCACTGGGCCATGACCGTGGATAGTTGCGGATTGGACCACTGTAACACAAAGGATTTTTCAGAGACTAATTTTCAGAAATAGATCACTAGACATTTCTTCCTAGTCTGTCTTAGTCTGGAAGCTCAGCTGAAAACTCTTCAGCATCATAAAAACTTGCAAGCATCCCCTGACAGAAAAGTGGTGACCATACGTGAGGTCTGGGAATTGAACCTGGTGTGGTGCTGTAGGATAAGCACTGGACCACAAGGTTGGTTTGAATTGCAAGGTCAGCAGTCCAAACTCACCAGCCGCTCCTTGGAAACGCTATACTGGATCACTCTGAGGTGGAACCTACTCGACAGCACTTAGTAAACAACAGCTCCTATGTGGTAGGTAAAGAGTACTATCACTAAACTAACATTGCTTCATTTTTTAGAGCTTCTTCTTGTTCATTGCCACGCAGTCATTTTCCAAATTGCTAGATAATGAGGAGTGGTTGGGAAGAAGTAGCTGGGTGACAATAAATGATGAATTATTTCAAAGGTGGATATTTTTGACCAGGTTTATAGTGACATGAACTAAAATTAATTTCTATAGGTCAGTCTGAAAGAGAAGATGTGAATGGAAGCAAATGGACAATTACTACCTTTTATACCACACCCCGAATGCCAACATACTTAGCTGCATTCGCTATATGTGACTATGACCATGTCAACAGAACTGAAAGGGGCAAGGAGGTGAGTAAGGGAGATTCTTAAGGTAAGGGGAAATGTACTAGATGTAGATGAGTCATTACTCTTTGAACTTCCAGACGCTACCCCTACATATCCTGTTGTCACCTCCAGGTTCTCTCTTGGCTTCTTTTTCAAGTCCTGCTAAAGCTCTATGTGTGGCATTGTAGAATGGAATGCAACAATTTCCTCTGCAGCTCTGTGGGGTGGTTTCCATGAAGAGGCTGTGCATTAAACACATTCAAGATAGATTTTGAACTCCTCTGCTCAACTGGCTGCTACCTTTACAGAGTATAGGAGAGAATGGCAATTGCTGCTGAACTGGTGTCTTGGAACTCTGATTTAGCACAAGTTGTTTCCTTAGTCCTTAGTTGATATAGGCTCTGAAGATGGGACAGTAGTAAAAATGTTCAGCAACTAATATGTCACAGGCACCAACCGATAAAAATAGCAGCAAGAAACATCTGAAGAGTTTGAAATGTTGTGTGCAACTTAAATGTCATCCATGTCTAAAAGTAGGGTTGCCATGTTCCTCGACTCCAGGATGTGGGATATTCTCGTAGAGTTCCATAATGTGGGACTTCTGTCCTGAAACACCTAGTTTTCACCCAATTCTCCTCTCATTATAAGAAACAATTAAGATTATCATGAAAGTAATTTATGTAATGGTCTGTGCACTATAGTAGAGTGTGCTGGTGGTAGTTGTGTGCCACCTAGTCAGTTCCTACTCATGGGAAACCCTATATAGGGTTTCCAAGGCTATAAATTGTTACAAGAGCAGAAAGCCTCATCTTTCTCCCATGGAGTAACTGGTAACTTTGAACTACTGACCTTGCAGTAGTTCATACTCCCAGCTCATACTCCACTTGGCTCCTTATAATAAAGTGTAGAGTTGAGTTAGATAAATGCCTTAGGCCCAGTTCTCCCCAGCCAAGTCCACTTCATAGGGTTGAGGAAAACCTGGCCCTAGAGGAGGTGGAGGCCTTCTCCTAGGCCCCAAATTTTTTAGGCTCTCAATATCGATTCATAGAGACAAAAAAAACAAACAAAAAAAAACTGTGGGTGGGAAGTCAATCCATGCCACATCTCAAGGAGGAGAACTGCACAAAGCTACTCTATCTTACACTTCGCCTGATTTAATGATGAATTAATAATAAAGGCAGTTCCCAGGTTACCAACAAGATCCATTCCTAAGTGTGTCCTTAAGTTGAATTTGTAGATAAGTCAGACAAGTGCATACAGTTCTTATTTAGCCTTATGTTAGTCCAAGAAGAGGTTTGAAGTCTTTTCAATGATTTAAAAGATGCACATGGAAATAAGCAGAGAAAGACGGATCTACTACCACCAAATAGAAGAGCTGTGAGAGGAGTCCATCCTTATGACCTGGGGTCCATGTACTGTAAAGCTCCTAGATCCAGGGGAAGATGGATGCCAAAGTGTGTGGAGCTCTCCAAGGAATACTGGGCTTACAGATGCTGAAAGGAGACAAGGACATTTCCACAGAGCCAACAAAGAAAACCATCCCTTGTCTGTCTGTTGTACTGTGGTAGGTTGTGTATTGCTGTGATTCTGGAAACTCTGCCACAGGTATTTTAAATACCAGCAGGGTCATCCATGGGGGATAGTTTCAGATGGGCTTCCAGACCAAAACAAAGTAGGAAAAAGGAAAGACAAACTACTTCCAAATATTTAGTCACTGGAAATCCTATAATAGCAGAGGAACACTGTCAGCACCAGGTTATTGAAAATATAAACTTGGTGAAGAGCACCAGAATATTGTCAGATATAATGCCAGAAGATGAGCCTCTTAAGTTGGAAGGCACTCAAAATATGACTGGGGAAGAGCTGCCTTCTCAAAGCAGAGTTGACTGTGATGACACAAATGGAATAAAGCTCTTGGCATCTTTGTTTGTTGATGGTGCACAACTCAAAATGAAGAGAAACAGCTGTAAACATCCATTAATAATCAAAACATGGAATGTACAAAATATGAATCTAGGAAAATTGGAAGCTGTCAAAAATAAAATGCAATGTATTAACATCGATATCCTAGGCATTAGTGAGCTGAAATGGACTGACATTGGCCATTTTGAATATCATAGTCCCATGGTTTACTATACTGGAAATGACAAATTGAGGAGCAATGGAGTCATTCATCATCAAAAAGAACATATAAAGATCTATCTTTAAGTACAATGCTGTCTGTGATAGGATAATATCCATAATCTATAGACAAGTTAATGCCATTATTATACAAATTTACACACCAATCACTAAAGCCAGTGATAATAAAACTGAAGAATTCTACCAACTTCTTCAGTCTGAAATTGATCAAACATGCAATCAAGATGTACTGTTCATTACTGGTGATTGGAATGCAAAGGTTGGAAACAAAGAGGAAGGATCAGTAGTTGGAAAATATGGCCTTGGTGATAGAAACAATGCTGAACATCACATGACAGAATTTTGCAAGACCAATGACTTCATCATTAAAAAAGATCTTTTTTAAACAACATAAAAGACGACTATACACATGGACCACACCAGATGGAATACACAGAAATCAAATTAACTACAACTGTGGAAAGAGACAGTGGAAAACCTCCATATCATCAACCAAAACAAGGCCAGGGTAGACTGTGGAACAGACTATCAATTGCTCATATGAAAGTTCAGGCTTAAGCTGAAGAAAATGAAAACAAGTCTTTGAGAGCCAAAATATGACCTTGAACATATCCCCTCTGAATCTAGAGATAATCTAAAGAACAGATTTGATGCACTAGACACTAACGACTGAAGACCAGAAGAGTTGTGGGATGACATCAAGAACATAATTCAGGAAGAAAGCAAAAGGTAATTAAGAAGATAAGAAGGAAGGAAAAGACCAAAATGAATGTTAGAAGAGACTCTAAAATTTTCTCTCCAGTGTAGAGATGCTAAAGCAAATAGAAGTAATGAGGAGGTAAAAGAGCTGAATAGAAAATTTCAAAGGTCAGCTCAAGAAGACATAGTCAAATATAACAAAATGTGCAAAGACCTGGAGTTAGAAAATCAAAAGTGAAGAACATGCTCAGCATTTCTCAACCTGAGGGAACTGAAGAAAACTTTCAAGTCTCTCACTTGAAATATTGGAGAATTCTATGGGCAAAATATTGAATGATGCAGAAAGTGTCAAAAGAAGATTGAAGAAATACACAGAGTCACTGTACCAAAAAGAAATGGTCGATGTTCAACCATTTCAAGAGGTATCATATGATCAAGAGCCAACGATAGAGAAGGAGGAAGTCCAAGGTCCATTGAAGGCATTGGCAAAGAACAAGGCACCGGTAATTGATGGAATACAAGTTGTAATCTTTTAACATGCTGATGAAGCACTGGAGATACTCACTCATCTATGCCAAGAAATTTGAAAGACAACTCTATGGCCAACTGACTGGAAGAGATCCATATTTGTGCCCATTCCACTGAAAGGTGGCCCGGCAGAATGCAGAAGTCATTGGACAATATCATTAATATCTCATGCAAGTATAATTTTGCTAAGATAATACAAAAACTGGTGCAAATGTACATTGATAGAGAACTGTCAGAGGTTCAAAACAGGATTCAGATGAGGGTGTGGAATCAGGGATATCATTGCTGACATCAGATGGATCTTATCTGAAAGCAGAGAATACCAGAAAAATGTTTACCTGTACTTATTGAGTATGCAAAGGCTCTCAATTATGTGGATCATGACAAGCTATGGACAGTATTGTGGAGAATGAGTATTTCGGACAATTAATTGTGCTCATGAGGAACCTGTACATAGACCAAGAGGCAGTTGTTCAAACAGAACAAGGGAACTCTAAATGGTTTTAAATTAGGCAAAGTGTGTGATAGGATTGTAATTTTTCACCATATTTATTCAATCTAAATGCTGAACAAATAATCCAAGAAACTAGATTATATGAAGAAAAATGTGACATCAGAAGCATGGCAACAATTGTGAGGTTGGCCCAGAACCAGTAACCTCATATGCATGTGAAAGTTGGACAGTGAATAAGGAAGACCATAGAATTGATACATTTGAGTTATGGTGTTGGAGGAGAATATTAAAAGTACCATGGACTACCAATAGAAACAAACAAATCTGTGTTGGAAGAAGTCAGTCAGAGTGCTCCTTGGAAGTCAGAATGACCAAACTTCCTCTGTCATACTTCTAACAGATTGTCAGGAGTGACCTGTCCATGAAGAAGGACATCATGTTTGGTAAAGACGAGAGTCAGAGAAAAAGAGGAAGACTCCCAATGAGATGGATTGGCACAGTGGCAGCAGAAATGGGCTCTAATGTAGCAACAATTGTGATGTTGGTGCAGGACTGGGCAGTGTTTCATCCTGTTATGCCTAGGGTAGCTATGAGTTAGTACCTACTCAATGGCACCTAACAACAACAACAACAACAAAAGAAAGCCTTCTGCAAGAGCCAGCATTCTGAATTTGGTTTTCTAGCCTCCTAAACATACACTCCATAAGGCTTGCTATATGACAAAGTTGATTTAAAGAACCTTTTACAAGTTAGAGCTTCTATGAAGTTGTTATAATTGTTTGTGCTCTGCTGCCATTCCTCCAGGATAAAGCATTTGCATTTTGGGTCACAGTATGGGATCCTATATTGCCTTTATGACTGTAGTTTAACTGAAAGAAGAACATAAACTAGATGCATTTATTTGTGTCTAGTGCATATGCTCCTCATTCCCAGTCTCCAATTCTAGAAGATAAAGATATCACAGGAGATCAAATTAGTTATTTCTTTACCGCTAATGGAGACACTCTCAATAATTTTATGGACAATGAACAATATTTTCATGGATATATTTCTATGCTTCTGGCAGATCTACACCTGATTAGAAATTACATCATTGAAATTCCTTCTGAGGCTGTTTTTTTCTTGTGACTTAACGTTTCTTGGATCAGAAGATCAAATGATAGGTACAGAAGCCTGGAAAGCTGTAACAAGTGGAAATTTT